CCTTCGACCTCCTTCCGATTCTTTTCCAACTCAAATCTTCGCCCCGAATTATCGTAAAATATTCTCCGCCGGGGCTAACGTCCCCCCTTGCCTCGGTGACGGATCGAAAACTTGCGAGGAGCCTTCGAATTTTCGGATAAATAGCCACGATCATAACCGCGATACCCTCGTCCTCAAACCCGAGCAACTCCTTGTTTTTCCTGTTCCTTTCGGGGAAAGAGCGTCGTGCATTCGCCACTGGGAGACGGGAAGACGGCAAGAGTAATTTTAAAACGCGAATTTGTTATAGCGAACGCTTGGTCTATATAGTACGAGTTGAAATCGTTTTAAACTTTCGCGCTCCCCTTCCTTGAGAATCCTTCTTTATTTATTTAAGAATAAAACTCTGTAATAATGTTTCCTAACGACACGAAAAAGGTTTCGTTGTATCGAAGTTTCGACGTCGTTACGATTTGAACTTTACGCGTGTTATTCGTCGATTTCGTTTACGATGTATGTGCGTGAAATCTCAATATCGAATGTAAATCGATTATTGGTATATATGATTTCGATATTAGATTGAAAATATACCTACGTACGTGATTATGCTATTATATTTTAAATAAGATATATACATATAAAATATAATATATACATATTAAAATATAATAGCATAATATATATATATATATATACTATGTCTATTTAATAGCTATGGCTTTTGTTTCTTTTTTTTTTCTATTATGTAATAAACATTAGAAACATTTCAAGCTTATTTTTGTTGCTTACTTGTTTCGTAAATCCTAAATCGAATACGTACACAAAGTTGTCGCAAGTTTCGTACAATTTTTGAGGTTAGGTTATAAAACTTCATTCTATCGACTTAATAGCGGTATGCGAATTAATTTGCTATAGTACAGCACGAATTTCGATGAAAGACAATAATTATGATGCACTCACCAAACTTGGCAGAAAGCTCACTGTCCTGAAAGGGTTGAAAATATCGAGAAATTCGTAGGTGTGGCTCCGTGACGCCGTAGTACCGTGGCAAGCTACATCGTCGAGCAGCGCCTCTACCGGCGAAAAGAAAAATTACTCGTGCAGAGTGGTTCTCCCCTCTCGTGGTTTGGAGCGGGGCCGAGGTGGTTGGGGACCCCGCCTCCTTTCTCGACCATCTCTTACGCGCGCGAGCGCAACATCAGTCCCTCGGGCCCATCGACGAACTTTCGTCGCACCTTTCCGGTCTCGTTATTCGCGAAATCGTCTTTTTTTTTTTCGTTTCTCGTCTTTTTTCCCCCTTTTCTCTCTCACCAGAGATCATAGTGCAAACCGAGATAAAAGGAAAACGCGTTGGTGCCAGTGTGCGATCAAGTTGGAGGAGTCAGTGCATTCAACGACGTGGAGTGGTTGTCATTGCGCCGCCGCTAACCTCTCTACCAGCCCCTTCGCCGTTATTACCGCGGTGTCGAATCGACAAGTAGCCGAAGAATAGCAACGGTTGCGGAGAATCGTCTCTCCGATTTCGTCCACCGTTTTTCGTATTCGTTCTCTTCCTCTCCTTTCGCCCACCTCCGCTCGACTCGTTCTCATCCTTTTCCATCCGAGCGACGCCGTCTTTTGCTCGGCTTTGACTTTTGATAATCGTCTCGTTTCCGCGAATCGTATCGGTCGGTAAGGTGAACGCGGACGCGAACGCGAACGAACGCGAGTATACAGTGGAAGAGGTGAAAAAAGAAGAGTCGGCGAAGAGAGGGCAAGAGGCAAAGCATAGCAAGGAAGAGCTGGCAAGCGAGGAAACGAGAACGAGTGGAGGAGACGAGAGGGAAAGAGGACTACTACTCCTGGGGCCCCCCACCACACGGGCTGCCGCCGCGACGCCAGTCCGTAGTCAGTCAGCGCTGGACCGCCGCCCGCTCGATTTCGCGATCCACGAACGACGGTAGCCACCACTTCCACCTCCACCTCCTCCTCCACCTCCGCTTCTTTTCTCTTTACCTTGCTCACGTTCTTGCCCTCTACCCCTGCATTCTTCCTCTCGCTCTCTCTCTTTCCCTCTCTCCTTGTCTCTCTCTCTCTCTCACTCACTCTCACTCTCGCAATATCATTTTATTTCTCTCTTTATCGATATCTATCCATTCGTTCCTTCTCCTCCCTATCTTTATCTTTCTCGGTACTTTACGTCATCCTATTCTCTTTCTTTCTCTCCTTTTATTCCCCTTTTTCACCCTTACGCTTTCAATTGGTCTCCAAGGTATACACGTACGAGCACGCACATAGATGCGATCGCGTATCGGTTCTCTCCCTGTTTCTCTTGCTCTTTTCTCCATTTTCCTCTGTCGAGCGAGCTTTCGCTAGCTCCGTACGTACGAACGTAAGTACGTACGGTGGAGTGTCGTGCACGCGTCCCAAGTGGATGCAAGGCGTCGTCGCGAGGCATACGTCTCGTAGATAAGTTGTCGCGTGATCGTAAAAAAATTCTCGATCTATCGATGGTGGATCGAATTTTTTCCCGAGTCAACGAATCGTTCCTCCGTTTCGAGAGTCGCGCTGCCGTCCCGTGCCGCGCCGCGTCGTGTCGATCGTCTTTCTTCACGGTTTCGTGTCATCTTCGCGAATAAATCGGGACGCGCAAAGTGAATTCAGGGTCTGTAGTGACACCGATCAATCCTCGATACGATAACACGCGTCAAAAGTGCTCGATCGACGTTCGTCTCGTGCAGTTTTTTCTCTCGACGATTCCACGCGGAGGAACGAACGATCGCTTTCCGAACGCTTTTTGGTGTTTCCCTCGCGACGCGCAACTTCTAGAAAACGCCACGCGTGTCACTTCACTTTTTTATCTTGGATCTCTCGTAGGTGCGGCTTAACCGACATCGTAATCTTCATCCCAGAAGCAGACCTGTGTTTTCCTGCCGTTTTCCAAACAGTGGAATAGTTTCAAAGTTGCGAATCGTGCCTGGTCCATCTTCCGACGATGATGCGACAGTGATACAAGCGATAATCGATGATCGCCAAATGCGATTACGAGATCCGTTACGAGTGAGCTCTCTTGACCAATCGCGGATGGATCACGAGTCTTGGGGACAATTCAAACCGTACAAGTGCAATCAGTGCGCGACATTCCGTGAATGTAACTGCAATTTCGAAACTGGAAGATATTCTCCTCGTATACGATAATAAATAGTTGCGTTCTTCGTGATCAGTAGTGTATACGGGCACCGATGTAGGTGCGACACGTTGTAGAAAACGAGAATCGATAAGTCAACAGCGAAATGGAACCGATCGTTGAAACGCCGAACCCGACCACTAAACGATTTATCGAAATCGCGATGAGGTAGTGCTTAACGGATAACGCGCGTGTGGGTGACTGTAGTGCACATATAAGGGAAACTTTGAACAGTTTCCCGCGGAAGATCTACACCGGATCTTCGGGCGAAATTTCAACACACGACCGTCACATGTTTGGGATCCGATCGACTACGTTTAACGAGCCAAGACCTGGAGGCCACAGAGAGAATCGAACATCTCCGAAGGACGCAGATGCCCCGAAGGAAACAGCACGCTCCACAACGTATGAAATGTAAGTGAATTTTTAATATTGTATCCTTATTGCGACGAGGAAAGGAATCCTCGAAGAAAGGTAGCCAGCCGGAAAACAAGCTTTCAACATCGTAATTAACCTTCCAAAGTGCGCTAGAGAGTAAAAATTAAAAAAAATGTTGTTTATCGAATCTAATTTATCAAAAGCTGGTTGCCACGATTTCGAGTTGAACGCTCCTTCATTGTCATTTTCCAGTACGGAATATACCACGTGTAAGCACGTTACTCGATAGTATCACGAGTCGTTTTTCTGACTAATTTCATACCCGTATTCGTTTCCTCCGATAAAACCGCATTTTTTCTATTTTTCTCTTTCTTTTTTACGATTCGAAAAAACCGTTAATAAAGAGATAAATTTCATCGATTCTAAACGTCCTTCGATTTTGCAATCGATCAGTGCATTATTCATTCCATGACTAAATTATTTTATCAGTTAATAGAAGTTATTCGCAAAATATGTTAAATATCTTTATGCATCGTTTAATCTAAAGTGACTACTATAAAGTCGCAAGAAAATTTTATCTCGACTCGTAATATTCCGTTGAATATGTTCGTTGAAATTATAACGTTAACCTTACTTCTTTTTCGAATTTCTAAAGAATTTTTAACGTATTTATTCACGTAGAAAAACATAAATTCCTTCGCATAGTGCAAAAAGATTCGTAAACAGTTTCTTTTTCAAAATTTCGTGCGATTCCACGAACGATTATCTCGATTATCGTTCGACGTTTCGAAAATAGAATTACTTTTCCACGAATTGCAATATTTGACACCATCGTTACGTATCATATTACAAAACTCGACATTCGTTAAAAGAATATTTTAACGTTAGAACGAAGATATGCCTGTATCACGTGACAAAGAAAATAAAAAAAATTCGTTATGAAATGAAAGGCAGTTGGCGAAATTTCGTGGCGACTGGTAGAAAAAACAACCGTGAAACTGGTAGTGGATTCGTGGGTTTGAATTCTCGACGCGCGCCATGCTGCTTTTCCCACGTGGGGAGCCATGAGGCGTAAACAAACTCGCCCCTGGTGGAGGACGCCATCTTGGTGAAGTTCTGCCGGAAACATTTACAATTCACTCAACTTGCCCTACCGAAACTCGGCCAAGCGCCGATAAATCTCGTTGTGCGCGCGCGCGGATACACGCCGCGTACATAAATCCACG